AAAAAAAAAAAACAAACCAACAAACAAAAATAAAGAGTGGTGATTACAATGAGCAAGCAGTCAATCCAAATGAGAAGAGAAAAATGGGAACGAAATCAAGATGACATTATCTGATAATAAAAGAGCAATTTGATTCAAGTGATAAAAACCTCCATAAAGCTACCCACAGGAGGTTAGCTTAAATCTGATAGGCAACAGTAGATGATGTCAACTCTTGAAAAAGGAAGGGATACAATTACAATATACATATGTACCCTGCCCTTTTTTCCAATACCTCTGATCAAAAGCTCTCCTTACCTTCTGGCTGCTCTGGAACCATGACACAAGCTGCTTCAGAGAATTCTCAGTTTCATTCCTGATACTGGTGAACTCCTCTCTTTTTATACACTGCCAGTCATAAAACTCTCTAAGTATTTCTTCAGAATTGGTTCCTTCTTTGACTTCTCCATACACTGCTTCTAAAGAAGCTGATAAACCCTAAAAAGAAACAAATGTTCATTTGTTAAAGATTATTAACTATTAGGACTTAAGTACTGATTTAGGATCCAAAAGACAGAATATCATTGTTGATCCCTACTTTTTTTTTTTAATGGTCTGACTGTAGCCCTGGCTGACCTGGATCTTTCTAAGTAGACCAGGATGGCCTCTAGCTAAAAGATCTGCCTGCTTCTGCCTCTGCCTCCTGAGTACTGCAATTAAACACACAGGCTATCACAAGTGGACTTGATCCATACACATAAGAATTTTATAAATAAAACTTAGAGATGAAGACACATATCTAGAAAGTTATTTATTTGGACTAAAATAAAGTTTATTAATTAGTCACAAATTGGTAGCTTTCTATTACGAGGTATGGGCGTGCGGGGATCTCGGGGCGCCAGCTGCTGGGCATGGCACGGGTCTCCCACACGTCACTGGAGTGCGGCGGGTCCTGCGGGCCGCGTGTGCCCCGCACTGCGTTGCTGTGGGTCTCCGCGTCTACTGGGTGCTGGCGACTCTACTGATCGCTGCGCTCCCAGGCGGGTCCCTGCTTCTCCACGTTGTTGAGGCTCTCTGCTACCGGGGCTGGCCCGGTCGGGTTCCGTCCCAATCCACCATGCACTTCCTCGAGATACGAGATCCGTCAGCTGCCAGGGAAAGGTGCAGAGACGGCGAAAGCTGGGTTTCTGTGAGTCGTAGCTTACAAAGAGACAGCCCTCTCCGGGAAGGCTGGATCGTAGGCAGTAAGACACAGAACTCAGCTCAGTCAGTGGTACAGCCCCTTTATTCTGTGACTCAGCTCGGCTCCAGGCCTTAGTGATCCAGCTTCGATTATTGAGGGAAAACCAGGATACTTTATACTGTGGGGGTAGTGGTAAAAGCCTTAGCTGATAGGTACTTTGTGGGATGCCCTATTTACATATGGAAGTGGGCTCCTGCCAGGCTGTCAGACTGCCTGAAAATCACACAGGAAAAGCTGGCAGTTCCAGAGCCGGAGGCCATGGCTACTTCAAAAGATGAGTCAGGAAGATGCTGGGAAGGTACCCTGCTGATAAAAGGAGTCTCTGCATATGAAGCCGAGCCCATAGGCTATCCAGACATGGAGAGACTACAACTTTACACAACAGGGGTCCCCAACAATGAGGGTTTTAGCTAAGTAAAAACTGATCTCTTTTCCTGAACTTTAAATAAGTATAACTACTGTTTGTCATGGCCTGAAAGTTTCCAAGATATATTGTTAAGTAAGTAAACCACAAAACAAAACATACAAATCACTCCAAATAACCAAAAACATTAAACAGGGGCTGGAGAGATGGCTCAGCAGTTAAGAGCACTGGCTGTTCCTGCAGAAGACCAGGGTTCAAATCCCAGCACCCACATTGCAGCTAACAACCGTCCATAACTCTAGTTTCAGGGAATCTGTCCTCTTCTGTTCTCTGTGTTCTCTTCAACACACAAGTACACTTTAACACATGCAGGTATAACATTCATATATATAAAATAAAGTACATTTAAGAAGATTAAAAACATTAAACATATATGTATACCTAGGAGCATTTTTAAGGACTAGAAGAGATAAGGTAGTCTGTCAACAGAGTCAGCTGGATTTCTAAACTAGGAACCAAATTCTAGAAATGCTAACAGGAGCAAGAGGAAAGCTTAACAAATCTCATAAATTTTTATTACAAAACTCTGAGAACCCATCAGAAAGACAGCAAGGATGGTTGGTGCTTAGCACTAGATGAATACAGTCATGAAAATGGGAGAAGGCCCTCATCATTTAATAGCTTGTAGGAAAAAACAAGAACTTATTTCACATGCCTTCTCTTTTTCTTTTATTGGGTAGTAAAGGAACAACACCAGAAAGAGGCAATGGGATTGTATGTGGACCACATAAGAACACAAATGAGGTAAAATGACAACCAGTAAGAAGGGATGACCAGTCCACGTACACTACTCTCTTTTCTTTTCCCTGAATTCACGGCAACATTTCTATCCAAGGCAGCAGCCCCTGGGGAAAAGCACAGGTTGAGGTGGAGGGAATGGGAAGTTTGCTAAAGATTAAGACCATCTAGAATAGAAACAGGGAATATCAGAGTCCAGATTATAACATCAGAAGTTCTGTACCCTTAAAACCAGCCCTGTTCTATTCCTTAAATCCACCTGAAGTCCTAAGAACTGCGTTCTAGGTTTTTATTCTTCTCCAGCTCCCTCTATGATATTATCCTACACTTATACAACAATATTGAAGCAGCTTACAGTCCCAAGGGAATATGGAATCTTAGGGGCAGGTAAGGAGGAGGATGAAATGTGTGATTAACACAAGCACCCTAAAAGAAATATAAGCAACTAAGCATCTTTTTAAAAAGGAAGCAAAGTCAATATTGGAAACACAAGGTACTTATAAATAATAAGCAACCAAAGACATTAGCTATAAATGAAATGATCTTAGAAATAAAGAACATGATGGATTTGCTAAATGACAGAAAGGATACTTTTAGAGAACCAGTTAATGAGCTAGATCATTAAGACAAGGATCACTCTAAACAGACACTGACAGAAATTTATTTAAAAAGGAAAAAACTGAACTCCCTCTGCTTCCCTGGGCCTGCAGGTCCCGCAGGGTTCTCTCCAACCTGCAGGCTTCTCTCTCTGGGGTAAATGGATTGGGTCCTCCGTGCCTTGACTCCCCCAGCCTCACTCACACTCCTATCTCCCCCACGGGTCTCTTCTCCTAGCCTGGGTCCTGTCCCATTCCCTGTCTTGGCTACTCCCAGATACTTGGGGAACTAGCACTGCTTCTTCCGGATCCTGTGCATCCAAAGCAACTCAGTCCATTTTCAGATCCCCAGGAGCACTCCTACTGGGCCTGGCCCCGCCCTCACCTCCCTCTGCTTCCCTGGGCCTGCAGGAGCCACTGGGCCCTCTCCAACCCACAGGCCTCTCTCTCAAGGGTAAGTCAATCCAGCCCTCCTTGCCTTGAATCCCCAGCCTCACTAACCCTCCCATCTCCCCCACCAGTCTCTCCTCCTAGCCTGGGTCCTGTCCCATTCCTTCTCTTGGCGCCCCAGACACCTGGGGAACCACCACTTCTTCCTAATTCTTTCTATACAAAGCAACTCAGTTCCTTCCTTCCCCAAGGGCCCTCTGGGTGTGGCCCCACCCTCACCTCCCTCTGCTTCACTTGGTGTGCAGAACGCACAGCCTCTTTCCTGGTAGGCTTGGCTGACCTTCCTCTTCCTGGTCCTTTACACCCAGACATACCCAGCTCCTCAGTGCAGTCCCCAAGGGCCCTTGGGGTCGCCTCCCGCCCCCATCTTCCTTTGAATCTCTGTGTAGTACAGCCATCAGCTGACCTAGACCAGCATCTTTCCTGGGCCCCGCTCCCAGGCCAGTACAACCCACAAATTCCTGAGGACAAAATCTATCCTGGAGGGATCCAAACCATAGGAGAAAGCCTGAGAGCATCTGATCCTCATCTGACTTGGGCCGTTGTGGGAACTCCGGAAGACAAAAGCAATCTGGCCACTCCGATATAAAATCAAAAGAGAGAACTGGAAGCTTAGAGGAACCAGCGTTTGACGCCCCAAAAGTAAACCACAGAGTCTCATAAAGTTCACAAAAAGAAGCAGACCTAAACTTGAAGGCTCGAGGCTCACACAAGAATCAAAAACTACAAAAGAAATTCACATGTCAAAATCACAGAGAAAAAATAATAACATGAAAAACCAAAACAACATATCGCCACCAAATACCAATAGTCCTCTAGAGAGTACAATAAAAAACCCCTAGAGATAATGCAGGACAAGGAACTCAAATGAACAATTATAAACATGATAAAAGAATTCAGTGAATATAAAGAACACACAAACAAAGAAATCAAAGAACTGAAGGAAGATAGGGATAAACTTCTGAATGAATTCAGAAAAAAGTTAGAAATACTGAAGAATACTGGGGCTGAAATGAAGAAGGAAGTGAAACACTCAGCAAGCCAATTAGAAACGACAGGAGAAAGCCTCACCAATAGGATGAATGAAATGGAAAAGAGAGTATCAAGACTGGAAGATAAAGTGGACGAACTAGACCACTCAAGCAAAGATTAAGAAAAATTTAAGAAATCACAAGAATGGAATATGCAGGAATTGTGTGACACCATAAAAAGACCAAACTTATGAATCACAGCCATTAAGGAAGGAGAATAATCCCAAGACAATGGCATGGACCAGAACTTCAACAGAATCGTGGAAGAAAATTTCCCAAAACTAAAGAAAGGCATGCCCATACAAATACAAGAAGCATACAGAACACCAAACAGACAGGACCAGAAAAGAAACTCTCCACGGCACATCATAGTAAAAACACCAAACGTAGAAAACAAAGAAACAATACTGAAAGCTGCAAAAGAGAAACAACAAGACACACACAAAGGAAAACCCACTTTGATTACAACGGACTTTTCAATGAAAACTATGAAAGCCAGAAGAGCCTGGACCAAAGTATTCCCAGTGTTAAATGACCACAGATGCCAACCCAGATTACTATACCCAGCCAAAATGTCTATTATAGTCAAAGGGGAAAGAAAAATCTTCCATGACATAAATAGGCTGAAAGAATTCATATCTACAAAACCAGCCCTTCAGAGAGTTCTGGAAGCAATATAAAGAGCTGAAGAAGGGAATGACTATACCCAAAGGGTTGGGGAAAGAAAATCTATGAAGATATAACTGTGGAAAAATACAGCTATATCAAGAATGTAAATAGAAATAAAAATGACAGGATTCAATACTCATCTTTCATTAATAACTTTAAATATTAAAGGACTGAACTCACCAGTCACAAGACACATACTAGGTGAATGGGTTAAGAAACAAAACCCATCTTTTTATTGTCTTCAAAAAATCCATCTCACTTTCAAGGACAGACACTATCTTAAAGTGAAAGGATAGACAAAAGTATACCAAGCAAACGGTACTAAGAAAAAAGCAGGTGTAGCCATT